GTTAGTTGAAACTAAAACATATCTTGTACTTCATCTCTGACATCTTCTCTCACATCCATAATCAGTCTGTCATCAAATTCTATTTCGGATACATTTTCCAGAAAAATCTTGAATTTTTTCCCCTGCTCATTGCAAAACAGTTAAATCTTTTGCGTGGGCCATTGAGTAATGCTTCCTGACAGAACCTACAATCCACTCACGTGAAATCCAGCAGTTATTTCTATTTAGATGTCACACTTAAAACCTTCTAATACTTTTACATTGACATTAGGAGAAAATCCATGTCTATGGATTGAAGTTCTTCTAAGATGTAGAATTTACTGACTCCGGAGCTTCACGAACTCTAACCTCTAAAGGACTCACTCTGCTTTAATCATCATGGCTTTTGTTAGGTCTTTAAATACAATAGGCATCTTCCTGCCTCTTGGCCCAAGGTTCTTTGCAAATGATGGTCCACTGCCTGGAGTGTTCTCTCTCTTATTTCGGTATGTACCCAACACTGGCTCATATTTTAGGTTATTGCCAAAAACAGTTTCCTCAGGAAAGACTTCTCAAAGGAGATAAAAGCCTCACTGGCTTGATAAAGTCTGCCCTATAATGTCTGTAATCCCAAGATTTAGTGTAGTCACAGACATATAGGAAGTCAATGAACATTAGGTGAATTAATAAATGAGTGAATAGTGAAATGCACTATTGTTTTTACAATGTGGGTTCTCCCACAACATTTTTGGTCAAACAGTTGCAATGTTTATATCAAATTTATGTACTCCAATCTGGAAAAGTTTAAAACCTAAGGAAATGTGATTCATCCTGGTCCATGATGAAGACTATGCTCTGCATTTTAGTAACTAAAATTTATTGACTCCAACCTTGCTGGTGACAACTGTGAAAAAGGAAGAAGCAGAAATGTGAAAAGAAGCTGTCAACTTGGTTACAAATTTGGATGAATATGTGTTTACTTTTCTAATTTCCTAAAGTCTAACCAGAAAGCTCATCTGATTATCAAAATATCTCTGCATTTCTTTTAAAATTAATTAGGAATTATTACTTATAAATTTGCATTTTCCCCAGTTTTATTGAGTTGTAGTTAACAGCTCAAAATTGGATGTATTTAAAACATACAACTTGATAATTTCATATACACATACATTTCAAAATATCACGTGCAAGCTTATTAACATATCAACTATCTTCTTACATAGCTATCTGTTTCTTTCTTTCCTTTTTTGTGGTGATAACACTCAAGATCTAATCTCTTAGAAAATTTCAAGTATACAATACAACATTGCTAACTATTGTCACATCATTGTACATTTGATATTCAGAAAGTATTCATCTTACATAACTGAATCTTTGTAATCCTTAACCTACATCATCCTGTTAACCCCTCCCTCCAATCCCTGGAAACCACCATTATACTCTCTGTTTCTATGAGTTTTACTATTTTCAAGATATTTTTTTAAGTTTTTATTTATTATTTGAGAGAGAGAGTGTGAGCAGGGTAGGGTTAGAAAGAGAGTGAGAGAGAGAGAATCCCAAGCAGGCTCCATACTGTCAGCACAGAGCCCAAAATGGGCTTTTGTCTCATGAATGTGAGATCATGACCTTACCCAAAATCAAGAGTTGGATGCTTAACTGACAGCCACCCACATGCCCTGAGTTTTACTATTTTAGATTACACACATAAGTGAGATTATGCAAATTTATCTTAATCTCTGTCTGCCTTGTCTTTTCTTTCATCAGCTGAGCTTGAAGTGGACTTTCTGACTCATGGAAAGTCAACTGTTATATAGCAGGCCCACAGTCAGTTCTCTCCTTTAGAGAGGGTGAAATGCCTTTGGGAAAGAAAGTAGTATCTTAGTCAGATATCCTTGTAAGCATACTAACATAATTGGCAAAAACCAATGGCATTTTCCAATGGGAATCTTTACATATGATATGTTTTTAGCTGGATGAACTTAGTTGCATTGGACTGTTTATGCTTATCAAACCAGGTGTTTATTGAAATGAAGTATAAAAAGTTGAATGTTCTATGATCCAAAAAACACCTGTAAGTAATATGATGCATGAGTTTGTCTTAAATACATGGAAAATATCTTCTGAAAACCAAGCTAACTCTTTTAGATTGGTATCCTTTTAGAACATACATTGAAAGTTAATTTTTATACATAAGAGATATTGTATTTCTTAATGTGTATCAAGAAATACATTTAAAAAAATAAGGAAATAGTGTGTGTGTGGGGGGGGTTCATGATGGTGGCAGAATAGGAGGACCCTAGGCTCATCTAGGGTCCTATGAATACAGCTAGATAATGATCACATCATCCTAAGGATCCCAGAAATCAACCTGAAGATGTACAGAACAAACTCTGCAACTAAATGGAGAGAAGGGGCCACATCTAAGAATATAAGAAGTGCAGAGACATGGTTTAGGGGAGAAGAGATTCCTGGGTACTTCGGAGGAGAAACGCCGTGGTTGCAGAGAAAAGCAAAAGAGAGGAACATGTAGGAGAATGCACAAAGAGAACCTTTCCTGAAAGCCCTTGGCTTGGAAGATAAGAGGGGCTGAATTTTATGAGTTGTTGCAACCTGTGAGGCTTAATGCCTAGAGTTTTAAAAGTCCGTGGGCTTGGCTGGGATAAAGCCTGGAGGGCATTGCTCTGTTCCTGGAGAAAAGGCAGGCAAACAACTCCAAGGTTGACAGTGTGGAAACAGTGATCTGAAGAAAGCCGAGGGCACACACTCACTCTTCTTTGAGGGCTTCCCTGAGAGGCAGCATTCACAGAGATGCCTCTCCAGGACAAAGGAGCTGGCAAGTGCCTTTTCTATTCCCCACCCCTCAGCATAAACACAGAGGCACCTGCAGGGAACAGCATACCACTGACACTGGACACTGCCTAACTTCTTTAAACCAAGCCCCACCCCACTGTGCTCTGGCAGGATTGCCCTTCTCAGTCAAGTTCGTCTCCGTTCCAGTGCAGCAGGCCACTCCCCTAGAAGACCAGCAAAGCTCATGCCCACACCACATCTCCTGACCAGAGAAGTCTGCAGGGCCTCAGTTCTGGTGGAGTTGACGTCAGCTCCCATTTAACAAGCTGACCACTGCATACCTAGTTAAAACCCACCATGTTCAGGACAGGGACCAAACACTGCCCACAGTAGGCAAGGAAACCTTCCGTGGATGGCTTTCCTGAAGGATTAACAACCGTAACGCAACGGCAGAGTGCATGCAGTACACACCGGAGACACTCCATGAAGTGCCAGACCCGGGGCTCTACGTGGCCTCTTCTTTATAAGAACATTACTTTCAGGAGCAGAAGACATAACAGGCTTTTCTAGCACACAAAAGTCAGAGACTTAGACAAAATGCCAAGATATAAGAATTTATCCCAAATGGAAGAACTAGTTAAGTATGGTCAAAGATATAAGCAAAATAGATATAAGTAACATGCCTGGTGGAGAATGTAAACAATCAAAAGGATACTACTCACTGGTCTTGAGAAAAGAACAGGAGACATCAGTGAGACCCTTACTGCAGAGATAAAAGGGTTACAAAAGAATCAATCAGAGATGAAGAATGCAGTAAAACAGGATTGGAAACAGGCTTAATGCAATGAATAACAGACTGGAAGAAGCAGAGGAATGAATTATTGGCATAGAAGACAAAATAATGGAAAATAATGAAGCTGAACAAAAGAAAGAAGAATTATGGGATATAATGATAGACTTACGGAACTCAATGACTGTCAAATGTTGTAACACTCATAGGAGTCCCTGCAGAAGAGAGAAAAATGTCAGAAACTTTATTTCAAGAAATAATAGCAGAAAACATCCTGAATTTGGGGAGGAAACAGACACCCAAATCTAGGAGGCACAGAGAACTCCCATAACAAGCAGGGTAACACCAGACATAATGTAATTAAATTTACAAAATATAATGATAAAGAAAAAAATCTTAAAAGCAAAAAGACAAAAGTAGTCCTTAATTTACAAGGGAAAATCCATAAGGCCAGCTCGAGGTTTTTCAACAGAAACTTGGCAAGCCAGAAATCAGTGGCATGGAATAGCAATACTTACATCAAACAAATGAGACTTTAAAACAAATACTGTAAAAAGAGACAAAGAATGGCATTATGTGCTCATAAGTGGGACAATCCAACAAGAAGATATAATTATAAATATTTATGCATCCAACATGGAAGCACTCAAATATATAAAACAATTAATAAAAACACAAAATAACTAATTGATAATAACACAATAATATTAGGGGACTTTAATATCCCATTTACATCAATGGACAAGTCATCTAAACAGAAAATAAACAAGGAAACAATGTCTTTGAATGACACAGTGGACCAGATGGACTTAACAGATATATTCAGAACATTCTATCCTAAAATAGTAGAGTACACAGTCTTTTCAAGTGTTCACGAGACATTCTCCAGAATAGATCACATATCAAGTCACAAATCAACAAATATAAAAAGATTGAAGTCATACCATGCATCGTTTCTGACCACAAGGCTATGAAACTAGAAGTCAATCACAAGAAAAAATTTGGAAAGACTATAAATACATGGTGGTTAAACAACATACTACTAGACAATGAATGGGTCAACCAAATCAAAGAAAAATTTAAAAAATACACGGAAACAAATGAAAATGAAAAACAATGGTACAAAACATTTGGGATGCAGCAAAAGCAGTTACAAGATGGAAGTATACAGCAATATAGGCCTATCTCATGAAACAAGAAAAATCTCAAACAACCTAACTTTACACCTAAAAGAGCTAGAAAAAAATTAAAAAATGAAGCCTAAAGCCAGAAGAAGGAAGGAAACAATAAATATTAGAGCAGAAATAAATGATATAGAGACTAAAAAACAGTGCAACAGATCAATGATACCAGGAGCTGGTTCTTTGGAAAAAAAAAACAAACAAACAAACCCAAAACATAAAATTGATAAACCTCTAGCCAGACTAATCAAAAAGAAAAAAGAAAGTACCCAAGTAAATAAAATTATAAATGAGAAAGGAGAAATAACAACAAACACCACAGAAATAGAAATAGTTATAAGAGAATATTATGAATAACCATATACCAAAAAATTGGGTAACCTGTAAGACAGAGAGCAAATTGAGGGTTGCTGCAGGGGAGGGTATGGGTGGGAAGATAGGTAAAATGGGTGATGGCAATTAAGGAGGACACTTTTGGGGATGAACACTGGGTGTCATGTGTAAGACATGAATCATTGGGTCCTACTCCTGAAGCCAAGACTACACTGTATGCTAAGGAACTTGAATATAAATAAAATTTAAAAACATAATTTAAAAAAAGAGAAATGGACTGGCCCAAGAACCAGAGATGGTCTTGCTGCCACCACAGGTCTTTCAGCCACCTGACAATGTCATCTCATTTAGTAGAGAGGCCACCACTCCCTCACAACAACAACTGCGAGGAAGGTGAACAGCCTTTGCCCCTGACAGCTGGCCTCAAAAGTTCCTGGTTAGAACTCCCTATGAACAGCAGCAATGGCAATGATAATGGCAATGAGAAAAATAGGGGGCTAGAACATGTACCTTCCTCATCTTCTGTCTGCAGTGGAGACATGGAAAAGGCTCTTTTGCATGCACAACATGAATCAGGACAGAGTAGTTCAAGAGCCAGTTCTCACTGTGACAGCCCTTCCCCACAAGAGGATGGGCAGATTATGTTTGGTGTGCAGATATACGCCAGTAGGGCCCATAACTCTCAGAAGAAAAGGTTGCAGAAGAAGAGAAAGAAGCTGATCCTTTGAAGAAAAGTGTAGACTGGGTGTCCAGCTGGTTCAGTAGACCTGAAAACATTCCACCTAAGGAGTTCCACTTCAGACACCCCAAATGTTCCATCGCTTTAAGCATGAGGAAAAGCGGGGCCATGAAGAAAGGGGGTATTTTCTCCACAGAATTTCTTGAAGTGTTCATTCCATCTTTCTTCCTCTCTCATGTTTTGGCTTTGGGGCTACACATCTATATAGGAAAGCGACTGAGCACACCTTCTGCCAGCACCTACTGAAGAAAAGAGAAACCCCTGGAAAAGCGTGTGACCTGTGAAGTGGTGTATTGTCACAGTAGTTTATTTGAACTTGTTACCATTGTAAGCATGACCCCACCTACCACCCTATTTTTGCATATCCAAGTTCCAGCAACTCTCAAATCCAGTATTTTATTCAAACTCTGTAGAAGCATTTTACTCACCTCATTCCCTTTTGGCCTGTAAGACATTTTAGAATTTCCTAACAGAATTTACTGTTATTTAAAAATTCCTAACAGAATTTACTGTTATAGAAACATTTTTAAAAAGAAAAGGGCTTCTTTTCCACAAATGTCACCGGCAGATTATAATTTTGTCAACAATGCTCTCATCTGATTTTAGTGCCACTAGACTTAGACCTGCATCATTTGTGGTATAAATTTTACTCTTGCAAGATAACTATCATCTCTCTTTTCAAATGAAATCAGGTTGATGTGACAGCTTAGTTGTTTTATTTTTTTTCAAGACAAAGGCAAGCTTCAATAAGCTTGAATTTATAGTTATTAAAAAAGAAAAAAAATCAACCAAGACACAAGGAAAAAATATCCTGGGCAATAATTTTAAACAAACAAAAACAACCAAAAAGACATGGACAAATTCCTAGAAACATATAAACTACCAAAACAGTGACAGAAGAAATAGAAAACTAGAACAGACCAATAACCAGCAAAGAAATTAAATCAGTAATCAAAAACTCCCAACAACCAAAAGTCCAGAGCCAAATGTCTTCACAGCAAAATTCTACCAAATATTTAAAGAAAATTTAATAACTATTCTTCTAAAACTATTCCAAAAAATAGAAAAGAAGTAAAACTTCCAAATTTATTCTATGAAGCCAGTGTCATCCTACTACCAAAACTAGACAAAAATTCTACTAAAAAAGAGAACTACAGGCCAATATCCCTGATGAATGTAGATGCAAAAAATTTTAAGTTTTACTAGCAAACTAAATCCAACAATACTTTAAAAAAATTCACCACGATCAAGTGGGATTTATTCCTAGTTTGCAAGGGTAGTTCAACATTCGCAATTGAATTAACACGACACACCAGATTAATAAAAGCAAGGATGGGGTGCCTGGGTGTCTCAGTTGGTTAAGTGTCTGACTCTTGACCTCAGCTCAGGTCTTGATCTCAGGGTTGTGAGTTGTGCTCGACACTGGGTGTGAAGCCTACTTAAAAAAATGTAAGAATAAGAACCATATGATCATTTCAATAGATGCAGGAAAGTATTTGACAATAAGAACATCCATTCATGATAAAAATCCTCAACAAGTTGGGTTTAGAGGAAACATACCTCAACATAATAAAGGCCACATGTGAAAACCCACAGCTAATATGCTCAATAGGGAAAGCCTGAGATCTTTTTCTTTATGGTGAGGAACAAGACAGGGTTGTGTCTACTCTTACCACCGTTATTTAACTTAGTACTGGATGTCCTAGCTGCAGCAATCAGACAGAAAAAATGGATGATAGATAGATAGATAGATAGATAGATAGATAGATAGATAGATAATAGATAGAATCCAAATCAGCAAGGAAGAAGTAAAATTTTCACTCTTTACAGATTACATGGTACTCTATATAGAAAACCTGAAAGATTCCATAAAAAAAACCTGCCATAATTGATAAATTCAGTACTGTTGTAGGATACAAAATCAACAAACAGAAATCTGTTGCATTTCTACACACCAATAATGAAGCAGCAGAAATAAAAATTAAAATATCAATCCCGTTTACAGTTGCACCAAAAACAGTAAGACACCTAGGAATAAACCTAACCACAGAAGTAAAAAACCTTTACTATGAAAACTATTAAATACTAATGAAAGAAATTGAAGATGACAGAAATGGAATAGCATTCCATGTTAATGGATCAAAAAAGTAAATATTATTAAATTGTCTATGCTGCCCAAAGCAATCTACACATTTAATACAGTCCATTTAAAAATACCACCTGCATTTGTCATTGAGCTAGAACAAACAATCCTAAAATTTGTATGGAAACACAAAAGACCCCAAATAGCAAAAGCAACGTTGAAAAAGAAAAGCAAAGCTGGAGGCATCACAATTCCAGATTTCAAGATATATTATAAAGCTGTAGTGATCAAGACAGTATGGTGCTGGCACAAAATACAGAACAGAAAAGAAACAGAAAAGAAAATCCAGACCTTCAGTTTTCATCTATTTTTCGTAGTTGAAGTTGTACAAGAACAGAAAGTGAAATAATTCCATTATCTTTTTCCTTGTCTCTTATTTCTTCTTACCCTCCTTATGAGAAGTTCAAGTGAAAACCATTTTGTATGTAAAGGAGACCAGCACAGATTTTATGTAGGTGTCTGTCTTTCGTAGTTAGAACCTTCTAAACTGTAGCCTCTGTTTTTGAATTTGGTTATTCATTACAGCACTGCCTACAATGTCAAAGAAGCAAAATTAGAATCAATCTATATATATATTTAAATGGGGGTTATGGGAAGGAAAACCAGAAGAGCTTTTCAATGAACAAATTTAAGTGAACTGCTTCTGTTTGAAAACAAAACAGTTACTAAAAATTGAAAACTCAGAGAAATGAATCTTTTTTATATTTTAAGATGGAAAAAGACAATGTTGTATAACAGCAGGATTTTTAGAACCTCATCAGAAGGTAAATAACAGAGCGTCTCAGAAACTGGGACATGTGTTGAAGTTTTGTGAGAGACAGGACACCTAGAGTGTAGATGCATTGAACTGGCAGTGCTAATCCAGTGGCTTTTGTCCCTTCCATTTTCAATAAAGAAATTATTAGGAGAAGGAAAATTGGGAAATACAATCAAGGATGTGTCTCGCTTTAATACTATGCCAGTCTTCACAAAATGATAGTATATTAACTTTGGGAAAGGTCTTAGGCATCATAAAAACTAAAACTCTCATTTTATCATGATATAAGTGTGCAGTATATCCAAGGCATAGTAAATAATGTAGTTAAGTGTACATTCAGGTCATAGGACTTCATGTTCATGGAGTAGTAATTTACACATCTGTACATTTATATTTATACTGAGATTATACAAAAGATCTGAACCTTTTCTGTTTATTTTAGAGAGAAGAAAGAGTGTGGGAGGGGAAGACAGAGTCCCAAGGAGGTTCTGTGCTGTCAGCACAAAGCCCAATGTGGGTTCAAACTCATGAAATGTGAGATCATGACCTGAGCCCATAACAAGAGTCAGAAGCTTAAGGGACTGAGCCACCCAGGCACCCCAAGGTCTGAACCTTTCTTGTTTACATTTCCAGAGTACCAACAAAAACTTGGCAATTTAAATAGCAGCAGTTTGCTTAGTCCCAAAAGGAAAATAGGTTGAAGAAAAAAATGGTGTGGACGGGGTAAATGGTTTACCTAGACACAGTTAACTTTAAAGTGTGAAGTCATTTTTAAAATAATTATTTATTGTCTATATAAATATAGGGTTAAAGATATCATCTCAGTTAGTCCTGAGGAATCATGGCAAGCTAACTATAACTTCCTGTAAGTCATTACTTACTTTAACAGAAATTTGTTTTCATCATGATGAGCCAGCTTTAACACCAATGAAATGCAACAGTCCATATTCACAGAAGGACATGCAATTCAACAGTATTTGTTGGGAGAATGTCCTCCATGGATTTCTTGTATTTCTGCACACCTTGAGAGCAGAGGCACCGAATGCCCTTGTCCTGGGCTATCTTTGCAAAGACGTACAGCAAATAGCCTAGGAAGGTAGAGATATCTTGGATGCCCATTCCAATATAATAAAAATAATATCTCCTTCCAAGGCAAAGGTAAGCAAGTTTTTGCCCATTCTAAGAGTCAGGTTTCCTAATCTTGGGTTTCCCCTTTTGTGATGTAACCCACTGCATATTCTGGTATTTTTTTCACCTGATACTTTCCTTATCATCTAGTCAGAATTTGGGCTCAAGTAACAAGCAGAAATGATATATAATAATCTTGCCTCCTTCCCAGAGGCAGCTCGTATAAAATGACTGACTAATGAAGGGATACTAATGCTCAACTCAAAATTGGGACGGCTCTGAAGGCCATCCCAATTTCAGACTTTGCCACTAGTTTTGGTGATGTTTTGTTGTGATTGCAAAGCAATCCTCCTTTTCATCCTCTTTCTCATTAATAAACTTCCTGAAAGTAGATCTTAGTGTAAATCTGTTTCCTGGATAGTCCAACCAACAACAGTTATCATTGTGTGTAGAATCTTATCTTCTTGAGAAAGGGCCTGTCTCTTCCTTATTTATTTGTTGTTTTTGTTGTTGTTATTATATCTATATCAGGTATCCCAATAATAGGTGTTCACTAAGTACATGATTGAACTCATGGAATGGAGAATTTCACCTTGCATTTTTATTGTTAGCATCCAAGAAAAAATGTAGAATATTATACTAGGAGCATCCTCCTAACCAAGTATTGAATATGAGGTGATAAATATATTTTAGAATCCAGAATCAATTACAAAAAAACCCTATTATTCAAAAGAAGAGTCAAAGGGATAGTACCATTTGAATTTCATCTAGAAAAAGTTGACTGATTACTAACAAATCTCGTCTTTCCTAGCTAAAAGGAAATAAGATTTACTTGTCTAACATAAATTAAGAGAAGGTAATGCAGAAATAAATTCAGAGAAAGGAAGGGAAAATGTTTGTTCACCATCACTTTTACTTATATGAATGAGATGGTTTAAACAGCAAAACTGAGGGTAGCATTTATACATATAAAGCGAAATAAGAATGGTTCCAATATTTCCTATTGGTCAGGAGTAGCGTAAGTTTCCTTTTAAAAAGCAATCTTGAAAAATTACTCTTGGAATTTTAAGAAATTTAAAAACAATAGCTTAGCCTAAGATACCCCAAAATGCTCCAAGAAAACAGATGTTTTGGCAATAATTTACCAGTAGGAATTGAAAAATAAGCTAAGAATACAGTAAATAGCTAATCATAGCAAAAACTCTAAGTATATTCCAACAATAACCACCACCTACCTACTGATATTTTCTCATTACTCTTTCAAGCACCAGGAAGCTTTAGATAACTGATGCTATATTGTAAAAAGTGTTTTCACTTTGATAAAAAGCTACTAGATTATAAACAACTGTGTGCTCTTGGGCGTATTGAATGTTTGTTGAATGTCAACAGGTGTACTTACTTCTTTTTTGGGTTTCACAGTAAATGATGGATCATGGCCTTCCATTAAAGAGAAACCTTAATCTTTCAGTTTATATATCATCTATTTTCCCAGCTGAGTCTTTCAGTCATTGGCTCTTAACATCCAGAAAACAGCTTTGTGAATCTGATGTATGTTTTTTTTTTTTTTCCCCTCTCAGTGTTCTTTTTCCAGATACATTTTTTTTCTCTTGAAATGTCATCCCTAGAGAAAACATTTTGGAAAAAAAAGTCATAGTTATTTGAAATGGTTATTATCTAATTATTATCCTGTTCATTTTATATCTATTTTATTATTTGATACTGATTTATTAATTGGTGATATTGTATGACTGTACTCACATTTTCATGTAT